CGGCGACAGGGGCGGCAAACTTTAGAAGCAAAAAATATAAAACCTGACCATCACCGTTTCCGTCTGAAACAAAGGGGAAGACAACGGGGATCGTATGTAGTGAGGAGATTGGAAGAGAGTATGGGAGAGCCAGAGCAACTTCGGAAGTCCTTCATAAGGGAAGGCAAGAAAGAAGACGCAGTTGAAGTCTTCGTGAGAGTCGTAAAGACAAAAATGGTCGCCTACGTAGGCATATACAGAGATGTCATAAAGATGACGAAAGACACAAGGGTCTATATGAATCAATACCGGTTTGTCCTCGAGAGTATGAGGTACGTTCGTGATGAAACAGACGGGAATGTCTGGAATTCAGAGTTTAGAGTCCCCTCCTCGAGCAGTGTGAGGCAGGTGGAGAGATACAGACGGATAAGTCTGGAAATCTGAATCGACGCGGCACAGGGCCGTCGTTAAGGATCATCGATGATCGTGAAGTGTTGTGCCAGTGCCTCCTTGGTCCTCTCCTACTACTGTGTTTCCCCCACCTTCTCCTACGTCTAAGGCAAGGACCTGCTGGGGATAGCCTTACTGATGAGTCCACCTGGCAGGTTCTGGACGAAACGTACACCCAAAGTTTTTGTACAATTAATTCACCATTAAAATATTTTATTATTATACATTTATACAGAATTTAATGATTCGATGATTTGCGGCGGATAATTGTAATAGTAAAAGAGGAAGGGATTGCGTGGAACGTGTCCTCAATCCATTGAAGTAATAAAGCTCCCCCGAAAGTTTCGCTTACGTTTCACCGAATTCAAGACGTTTGAAACTTTCCTAAGCAAACCGAAAACATTCGCAAAACTTTCGCCTGTTTCTCTCGACAGTTTCCACATATATGAAATTTTAAGAAGGCCGAACCGCTCCTACTATCGCGCATGAAGTACGAGTTAAGGGAGAATTATACGAGAGTGATTTGCGCGATTGTTTTTTGTATTACGAAAACAGGATCTGTCTGTCTTTTGTACTACGAAAACAGGACATGTGTAAAACACATATGTGTATACTAATTAAGTGTGATAGGACATGAAAATAGATCGGGTGCCCAAATGGGGAGACTCGAAGCAAGGTGATTAAGGAAAAGAAAATTAATGGAAGAGTTTATTGGAATTTGAGAGAGAGAGAGAGAGAGAGAGAGAGAGAGAGAGGAACTCATGCAAAGCATGTATTCTCTATCGTTCACGAGGTCAACAAAAATTCATTGAACATCCGGTTTATTCTCTTATGTTTAAGTTATGGATTTATTAATTATTCAATGTTCAAATAGGCTTAGACGATGTTCAATGCGACTTATACACTTGCACCACGTGGAGCGAAGTTAATATTTATGGCACATTTTATCACGTTTTTCGATGATTACAGAACTTCCTGGAAAAATTAAATTAAGAAATTCAAATTTCGGATTTATATTCGTAGCAAAACTTCAGTTTAGTTTTGCTTACCACAAGGCGTGAATTTAATTTCTTTACAATACAAACGTGTGTGTATGCTAAGGTAAGTCGTGCAGAAATAAAAAGTTTCAATAATAAACTATTAATTAAATCTGAATAAAATAGCGGCCCTTGAATGAATTTTAAAGTAAACATTAAAACGAATTTTGTCTTGATTCTCTGACAATGAGAATCTATGTATGCAAATCCATTCTGTTGTTATGTTTTGACGAAAGCATCGGACGTAGAAAGGGGCAACGCGTGATGAGAGATAAAGAGAGACTGTGCGTCGAGCAGAAGACACAAAATAAGTATCGCGTTACAAAAGTAATACAATTACAGAATTCTTTCCTCTCGATTGTTTTAAATGGAACTTTCTATATAAAATTTTTAACACGTCAGTATAGTTTCACGATATACGATTCTAGACCGAAGCATTGAATTAAACTGCGTTTAACTGATTCAAAATCAGACAATTCTTGTTAGTCGGGACAAAGTTTTCACAGCAGTTAACATGCAGGACTTAGTCACATTCATCAAAGAGATGCCGCATTTTCCGCAACGTCGGCGGTATTTAATTCGCGGAAGCGTTTGTGTATGTATCTTCCACCTTTCAGTGATCGCGGTTCAAAACGGTCCTAGAGGCCCGCTCGTCAATCCTCTTCTCCAGCTCTTCGCCTCGACGTCTAAAAGGAATCTCAGGAATGCTCCGGGATTCATTGACTGAACTAATGATCGCGGCACCTTCGACTGACTGCGGCAACTATCTGGCGAGCTCGACAATTCGTTGGAACTTGAAGCCGTCCGTCCGAGCGAGCGCGAATCTCTGCTGGATGCACATGCTGCGCGCGTAACTCGCGCTTACACAGTTGCACCATCCGACCGTGGACACGGTTACGCGTCGTCGTGGGGTGGCTGTGTTGGAATAAGGGGCGGTTCGAGGGAGACGGTCGATGGGGATGGTTACTGGGATTTTCAGTACGCGCGCGATCGCCGCGTCGAAGACACGGTTCTGGCGTGATCGGTCGCACTTTCCACCAGTCTGTTATGATCGAGCTCGTTGAAATAAACGCCATCGTATTTCGGTGAAAACTTGAAAAAAAACAAGTGAATAAAATTACATTTTTCAGCAGATAGATCGGCGAAATGAAACTAAAAAATTGCTTGTGAAGTGCGATTTAACGATTGATAATTAATATCGTCAAGTGGCACCAATACATTTCATTTAAAAAATTAAGACTAGTTGGTACTCTTAAATCGAGATATAATTACATGTAATATAAGATACTTAAGAAAACTGTAGACTGAAAGCGACGTTAATACTGTACATTCCTTAATGACTCGTTGACCAGAATCGACATTGGCGAACAAAATCGTATTTACAACGGACAGGGTAGTTCTTAATTGCTAATGACAAGAGGGATTCGTTGACTCGAGGAAGAATTAAGGTTGTTCTACGGGGTAAACGAGGCCGGGGCCTACGCGCAAGGAATCCCACAGTCGTCGACAGGGACTGAGGACTCGGTGAAGCGGAACGAGCGCAAATTAGGTAGGTACGGGCGATGTAAAGTTGCGGAGAAGGAAGATCAAAGGAAAAGGAAGGGGAGGGAAGGGAAGGATGATTTCTTTCGTTCTTTCTTTCTTTTCTTCTTTGTGTGCACGTTACAAATGGATGGACGTGTTCCACTTCACGTCGGAGAAAATGAATTCTTAAGCATTGTAACGGTCAGATTTCGCGCACCCGGACTGTCTCTTGTTTCACGGTTCGCAATCCGAAGAAAAAAGTCGGCCCGTGACAGGGAGCATTATGCTGAGCCGTGCCGGTGTCCGCTACCGGAAGACCGCAGTATACAATCCGACGCGACGCGGCGGCATGCAAAGCGTGTACAGGTAGTCGTCGGTTGTGGTAAATCCGCGATCGATACGTTTTAATTTCTGACCCCTTCTTGCCCGCCCCCGCATCCCCGTTTCCGCCGAATAAAGGGAAGGTGCGATACGGTTTCGAGTCTGTACGTTCCGTTCCGGCTAGATATTCTTCGCAGACATTCATTTTACACCATCTTCGTATTACACCGTCAGCTGGCATGGCGAAATCGCTTTTAGTTGACGGACGAAACTTACCCGTTCACGGGGAAAACAACGAAAGTTATCCTTCACGTTTCAACTTTTTTTTTGAATCCAAATGTACACGTTTAGGGCGGTAGAAGTCAAAGATTGCGAGTGGCATTCGGTTATTTAATTTGAATTCTGCACCAATGGGTAGTTATGATTGATGTTGCATCAAACAATGCCAATAGTCGAAATAATAATGCTTTACGAAACTTCAAATAATTTTTACAGGATGAAGATCGTTGTCATAGAAATTGAAATAGAGTTGATTATTTATCACAATTTTTTAAGGTCATCAGTAAACTGCGGATGCTTATGCATTTATCGGATGAAAAAATCATAAAATATTAATCTATATGTACCATTAACGAAATTGTGAAGAGACATTGGATTATAGATATAATGAAAACATACGTATCATGCTTCAGGATAATCTATTCTAACATTAGCAAATGCGTTAATTCAAATACAATACAGAATTAATGGCAATTTAATATTCAGAACGCGATATGTTGTGCACATACATTGTGTACATTTTACTGATATCAGATATTTCGCGTATTAATGAGATTTCTACTATAAATCATTATGTACAATTATTACTAATATTTTGGAATATAAGGTAATTGTTTCCTTACTCTCATCAAAATATACTGACAGTGCTAACGAATTAATAAAGTGAATAAAATTAATCGGAAACTCAATGAAAATTACAACAAATATTTTCAATTTCAAGTTAGCAGAATAAAAATACAAACTTATAATGAATTAAATATAATCTCTAGTTAAAATGATAATTGTTTCATTATAATAATTTTTTATCTGATATTATTATCAAAGAGAGGGAGCAAGAGAGAGAGACCATGGAAGAAAAGAAGTCTCCTTATAATTAAATGCAAATATTAAACTACGAAAGCTAAGGATCTCAAACAATTTAGAGGAAAACGTGAAACAAAAACCTAACTCTTGTACTGAGAAAGGATATCATGCACTCATGAGACGTACCACCTCGGTACATGTATAATAAATCAGGGTCCTCTGGCTGGGGATTTCGGTATCCGAGCACGGAAAACTTTTTTCAGACGTCTGGTACCACCATACAAATGAATCCATTTGTATGACATATATTGAATTCTTTAAACCAAGAATTTCATTTAAAGATCATTAAACATTCCTGAGGAAAAGGGCTAAAGGACGCAGTATCATTAAAAAGAATCTGTGCCTCACGACCGTTGGTCCGATTAAGAATTGTTTAAATGACAGCAACAGATGTTCCACGTTAGAAAATAAAATCTACAATTATTTCGAGATTTCCGACGGTCATCGCCACGAAGTTAAATGTTACCAAGCATCGTGCTTTTGATTATAATTGTAGATGAGGAAAAACTGTGATATCACGAGAATCCCGGGCATTACTGCGTATCGTTATTAACGGCAACGATCGCGCGTCGTTTCCGCCGACTCACGAGAACGGTTGGAGTGATCATGCAATAAAGCCGAACTTTTTTCTAAAAGGAGAACCTGCTTAGGTGTTAAACAGGGGTAAACGTTCGGTGTTCAATGATATTATTACGTCTTGATAACCGAGGATTCCTTTTATCAGCGCGATTCCACGGAAATATCATTGGCGTTACGCCAGGTAACGACGCTTTGAATTGGCTCGTTAAATTCCACCATGAATACTTATTGTTAGTGACTGCGAAAGAGATTATTGAAGATTAAAGGATTCCCGCTTACTACCCACTTTTTGTTTTTCCTCCTTTTCCCGTTTTTCCGCACAATCTTTCCGCGTGCCCCCGCACCGCCTCTCCCGCCCGACGCGTGGAAGTTTGGACATGATCGCAAACTTTCAACGAGCGATGTTAAGTATCCACACTAGAAGGGGTACGCGGAAATTAATGTTCTATGTTACCACAATTAGCGCGGATGAAATGCGCGCCGGCAGAAAATTTCCCGGAACAAAGACATAGTTATCGGCGATGGAAATTTGCATATCGAATCGCAGGATAAGCGACTTAATTAACAATTACGGAACAGCTTCTATTATCTTCCAGCGGTTGTTTTTCTTTCCGTCGAGACGAACTTTAACGTTGTTTTTTATCGGGTCGAATTAAGAGCCGTTTCGTAGTATTTGCTAAACTTTTCCAATCGCGATCTCACTTTACGGTATCTCATAAAGACTACTTAAGCGATATAACAGTTTCCTCTACGTACGGGTTCGATATAATTCTCTTCATACAATTTGCATTACCTTACATAAAACTTTCTTGTTATTGAATTATGCTATTTATTATAAGTCGTCGAATATCAATTCGCTCTATTACGTTTTATTAGAATAAAAATCCTGCAACTTCTGGGAAATGCGGCGCGTATGGGTAACAAAGAACAGATAGAACTGGAGTATTCTTAATGGATATAATGATACAATAGGGAATACGTTTCGATAAACCACTGGGAAGTTTCCGTTACTTCATTGAAATAATCGATTGGGCAAATAGCTATCCGCATTATTACAGTAATTGCTACAATGTGAGTTTACTCTTCAATTGTACATAAGAGTTATATAATATTATATTCCCTTAATATGTCACATCCATGACTCTACTGTACGGAGGATTTAATTTAGGCACACTAGAAGTCAGGAGGAAAGCCTTAGATATCTCTTTTGCTTGTAAGATTATCAATGGTCTTATATCTTGTCCTGACTTAATCCTAAACTCAAGATTAAGGTTTCGACTCAAATCTTAAGAAAATGTAAATTAGTATTGGTTGGACGTCATCGTACTTTGTATGGTTATTACTAAACAGTTTATACAAAATAAAAGATTTTTTATATCTGTTTAAAAGACATGTTTCGATGATTTTATTCATTTCTTATCTCATCAGCTTCTTATTCATTTTATATACTGCATATTGTGTATTGCACATATATTTTATTTAAGTAACTATAATACATAGAAATTATATTAAAGAGAAACTTAACGTTATCAATATATCAAAAATATATTAAAAATCTTTCAGTTTATTTTTCTCGAAAAAGAACATTGCTAATCAATTTTATATTAAAATCATAATATGAGTACTTGTTTATTTGTCAATTCTGAATTTCATAAATGATATCAATAAACGTGTGTACATAATCTGTGAAATTACTACTTGGATGATCGGTCCAGTACTCAAGGATGATGGATGTGACGCGAAAATGGACTAGACAAATTGGACAGAGAGGGATCAGAGCGTAGGTCAGGGGTATGACACCCGTTTCGTAAGGGCGGCGCGATCGTCCAATGCATTCCAAGAATTAACGAAAATTTATCGTCAGGTCCACCGGTGCCTAAAACCGAGGGAGACTCGACCATGTCGCGTATTCAGAGGCACCAATGAATGCACCGACGACTCGTCCCGGTTTTACCTCTTCTACGTATTTCCCGCTTTACTTTGTTTGCTCGCAATTTAATCCCATCGTCGTTACTCACCTCGAGCCAACCCTTTATTTCTAGAAGTCCGGCTCGAAACTCGTTCGGTGTACCTTCCTCTCGACTGCCTATTTCGCCGACGATTAAGGAACCCCGTGCATTTCTTCTCCGGCGATAAGTCAACTCCAGTGGTTCCACGAATTCCTTCATACTTCGTAAAACTTTAATAAATACACCGATTCATCGTGTACGAATATTTAATTGGAACTCTGCAAGCTCATTCGTGATCTTTCTTTAGTTACCTCGATTTCTCCAAAAATAGTGTGCACCGTAATGATACATCAAAGTAGACTTGGCTTTGAATACATAAATCATACTGTTAGTCGCGTTGAGAGTGTAAACGGATCATCAAGATACATCGATAAACGCAGATAGTTGCATTAAGTTTTATGGTATAAAGGAAACTATAGACGCGGGTAATCGGAATTGAGGAATAAATCGATTTACTTCCTTTGTCGCTCCTCTCCTCTTTGTGCCACTCTTGTACGCTTCTGTGTAACAAATTTTTAGATTATATGCGAGATTGTAGCTGAAGACGAAGGGAAACGAAGCGGAAATTAACAAGAAGTAATAGTGAAATAACGAATTCACTGGTTTGGAACTTGGAACAAAGTTTCTTTTTATTCAATTTTATTTGTCTCCTTTTGAGTTGAATATTAAAGACTGCGTACTAGACTAAAGTACAATTATCTCATAAAGGTTCTCTTAACAGAAAGCAGTGTATAAAACGAAAATATCTTTTGAAGTACTACTGAAATCAGTAGTCCATTTCGTACAATCGTTTTCAATTGTACCACAGACTCTTCAAATTACGGGATAAGAATATAGTTTTCCAATTCTGTTCCCATTTATGAATTTCAATATATTGAACTGTTTCAAGATATTCTACAGAATTTCACTTCGGTCACGCACGTACCAGAATTCAATATGAAACTCAAATCGAGACGCATGGAAAATATTAATA